TGCCTGTCCTGCTCAGCAGCTGACTTGTCCCGGGGTCCACAGTCCAGCCCTCCAACAGTCTTAGGGACAGTGAACTGGCCCCCTGTTTAAAAAGCTTAAGGACCCCTGGTCTAGGGTGACACAGCAACAAAAGAGATTTCTGCTTCGTAGCATGGCTGAATCCCAGCAACCTGCTGAATACAAGAGGCCAGACACCACACACACACACAATCCCGTGTGACTTGTCAACTTTCCACGACCTTCAGACAGGGCAGCCACCCTGTTGGAGTCAAGTGTACGAGCAGTTCTGGGGACGACAGGGTGGGCTGGTCTGGCTAGAACACCAGAGCTGCTGTTTCACCTGGCCTGAGGCTTCCACACCACTCACTGTGGGACAATCCACTAAGTGACCTCCACACACTTTCCGGGAAGCCTGCTTCACCTCAATGCGATTGTTCAGGTGAGAAAAAAGCAGCCTGGCTCAGGAGCTCCTGCAGCAACGCCACCCTCACCCCAGGGCAGGGCAGTAACTGTTTGTTGTCTGTTTCTCCTGCCCCTGTCTGAAGGCCCAGCCCCCGCTGCTGTCCACTCCTAAGCGGGTGACGTTTGCCTCTGGGCTGGGCAGCCCCATCCCAGGCCTCACACTCCTCCCTGACCGAGATCCTGAGAGCTGTGCTCTGCATGAAGGATCCTGGTGTTCCCACCCTGGAGCTCTTTGTCCTGCCAGGACCAACGTGCAGCACACCAGCACTTCTCTGGGCGCCCGGGGCTGTGCCTGAGTGAACACCACATCCCAGCTGTCCCAGTTAGTGTGGCAGACACCACATGGAGGCCTCGGTGAGGTTCATGGGCCATGAGGCTGACATCACTGGGCCAGGCAGAAGCTACCCCTTCCACAGAGTCCATGCAGAACAGGACACCTGCAGAGAGACTTGCAGTGTGCCACACCCTCGGCCCTGTTGCCTCCATAGCCCTGACACGCAAACTCCCAGCATGCTTCCCTCAACCTTAACTTTCTTATAAATTGGTGGCTAAACGAACATTCATATTTGGCAGGCTGCCACATCTGGGCTGAGATGCAGCTGTTGACTGAGTACCCCAGTCAAGGCTCTCTCATGGTCCCTGACTTGGGTGGTGCTGTTGCTTTGGTGCCAGCAGGAGGCCTCCTCCTGAGATGTTTATGCTGGACAAAGAAGCCGGGCAGGCTCTCAGGGTCATCTCAAGCTACAGAGAGGAGAGGAGACAGATGCCATCTTGTACCCTACAGCCCACAGGCCCTCTGCCCTGCCTCTGTCTTTACCACATGACCTCAACTCCCAGGAGCTTTCAGCCTTGAACCAGGTTAGTGCCAAAGCCCTGGGCAGGGGGGACAGAAGAGGACCGTGAAGGAAGGGCTCCCCAGCCAGCTCAGTGCCACAGAGGCGTCACTCAGCCCTTTGCTCCACTGGGCTGGTGGCTCCAGCCAGGGCTGCTGTGATGCCGAGTGACCACTCAGTATTGGACGGTGTAGATACTGCCATGTATTTTTAAGGACTATGTACACACTATTCCCAGTGGCAGATCTGTAAGGGTTCTGAAGCAAACTCTGCTGTTGTAGCAGAGTGCTGACAGGCATCTGGACAGCAAGGTCCTCAGCAGAGTGTGCCTGCCACACTTATGTAAGAAAAACGGAGCCCATCAACCAGCGGGAACAGACACTGATTCAAGACGTGGCGTCAGTAGCCGAACAGTCATTTGAAACAGTCCTTCCTGTCACACCTGTGACCAGCCCCCGCCCAAGCCCCCTGGATTGCCTTTGGGAGAATCCGCGAAGTCACAGCATCCTCCCCCTGCCAGGCCGACTCCCCATTGCATCAGAGTTCGTTGTGCCGAGCCCTGGAGATTCTGCTGGACAGATCCTGCAAATGCTTCTTCACCTGCAGACAGAAGCACCTGGTCAGCCAAGGACGACATGCACAAATCCTGTTCTATGAGATCATGACTCACAACCATGAGATGCTCCATCTAAAAAGGAAAACCGAGGAGCTCTCTCTTATCGCACCTGCAATTACCCACCAAACAGTGTTAAAAACAGCTAGAAGCAGATCCCACTGAAACGGAAAACTGATGTTTTCTGTCCTGGGAAAAGTCACCCTCTCCCACCCTGCCCAGGAGGGTGTATGGGAGGGAAGAGTCCCACTGCCACAACCCCAGCAGTGGCAGGCACCATGTTAGACAGGCCTGGGTCCCAAATTCTCACAAAACCCCACCGGACTAGCACTGCCTCCCACCCCTACAGGCAACTTGCCGAAAGCCCCCCTCCCACTGCCCCCAACCTTGCCATGTCAGGGATTTCCTGGCCAAGGCTGAATCTCTCCTCCACAGTCCTCCACAGTCAGGTGAAGCTGAAGTAGGTTCCCGCGTACCTCTGCCCTGGCAGGTAAGTTCTCCCCAACCCTTCCGGCTACCTCATTGGTTTTAGACCCAATTTCCTGCCCCTCTCCCTCACTCCTTGGCAGAAGTGCAGACCTGCCCCACTCTCTCCTCAGGCACCCTGCCTCAGTTTGTTTTTTACATTCTGCTCATTTTTAGATCTACAATCTATTCTCACAGCTCAGAATTTAAAAGGCATAGTCTGCTCCACAAGCAACTGGCATCACAGTTTCCAGAGCTTTCTGTGCCACTGGCTTCTTCTCAACACGCCCATGTGGCTCTGGTCCTGCCTCTCCTGACACCATCTCACCCTGCCCTGTGGCAGCTCTACATACAGGAAGGGTTCCTGCAAACTATCCCCCACAGTGTCCACTGCAAGGCCCCTAGGTCATGCCCCACCTTGGCCACTACAGGGATGAAGCCACTGAGCACTGTGTTCACCCTGAGGGTCGGGAGACTGCACGCCACACACGTCAACTCCCCAGTGCAGATGGCTTTGGCCTCTGGTGTCAGCACAACTGTGACCACTCAGGACTCAGCCTCTACAGGGAGGACCGCGAGGGGGGCTGCACCCTGCATGTCCAGCCAGCAGTGCAGGATGGGACCCACCGTGTAGCCCAGCTCCTTGGTCCTGCCCTCCAGCAGTGCATGCTTCTCCCGGCTGCGGCTGAGGCGCTCCCCGTCGCCTGTGCTCTCCGCATGCCTCAGCTTCTCGTGGGAGATCTCCAGCTGTTTCTGGTAGTGGTTGTGCTTCTCAATCTTGGCCTCAAAGTGCTTGAGCTCCTCCTGGAACAAAGTTTAAATAATCTGATGTTCCATCCATCTGCTCTCAATGCCACTTTGGGGGCCTCAGTAAACTGTCACCCCATCCATAAGGATGGCAAGCAGGCCAGACAGCAGGTTCAAGGACACCCAGCCAGTGAGTGAGTGAGTGTGTCTGGCCCTGGGGGTACCCTGTTGAGAGGCAGCGTCCTAGAGAACAAAGCCAGGGGCCCTGAGTAACCAGCTCTCAGTGACAGCTCTGCTGACTATCATGCCCACCTACACTCTTCTTGCTGGCCCTTGACCCGACCCCACTGCCACCTTTGTGACAGCATCTCCAACCTGTAGGTTTTCTGGTCCCCTCTGACTCCACAGCCAGGCAGAGGCTGTTGCTGCACCCCATCCTCTCCCTCCCTACCCCCAGTCAAGGCAACCCCAGCTCCTCAGTCCCCCAGCTGGCCTCAACCTTCCCCAATGCACCTGCTCTGTCCCAATGGTGCCCATCCCTAGCCCCCAGTGGAAGCCTCAACCCCTACCTGGTGGCTGAAGACCCTTCCTGGGGCTCCCCAAGGACAGGTCCAGCCCAAGACAGATGCCTAGCACAGAGACTTCCTGAGCTCGCAGACACATGGCAACCGCATTGCACTTCCAAATCTAACCACCATGCTGCTCACAGAGCACCCAGCCCCACTGCTTCCTCCAGCTCCAACCACCCTGCTGCTCACAGGGCACCTCACCCCACTGCTTCCTCCACACTCAGCCACTGGAAAAATCTGGAACTCCACATGCTCTAGGCCTCCTTCCACTCCCACCAGCATGACCCATCCTTCCCTGACCCTGAACCCACTGAGTAGGCGCAGGGGGGTGCCACCCAAACATGTCATCCTTTCCCTCAGACCATGGCTCTAGAGCAAGGTCTCAGAGCCTCTTCCCCAGAAACACCTCAGAACACCTGTTGCCCTCAGCAGACCACTCCACACCTTCTCCCTCTTCCAGCCCCCCTCACATGCAGCATACCCACCCAAGGTTGAGCAGACCCCGGCAGCCAGAGGCCACTCAATGGGTACCACTGTCCCTATAGACAAAGAGACCACAGCCCTGCTCGGGGAGGGGGTGAGCATTCATTGTTCCACACAGGCCACTGCCAGGACACAAGGGGAACATAAAAGGCAAGAGGCCAAAGGGTCTGGACGACATGCTTTTGCCCACCGTGTGGCTAAGAAAACACAGCAGAAGAATTCTTGTCACATCACCAGGGTTGACAGAAGGGATGGCTGCCAAATAATTTTGCTGGGACAGTATCAACTGCACCTTCCTTACCCGAAAGGACTCCAGCTCCTTCTCTGTGAGGTTGGCTGACTTGGCCAGGTCCCACAGGTCGATCACTCTGGGCTCCTCGAATTCTGTGGAAGAGCCAGAGTGGCCTCAGTGGTCTACAGGGCACACATCAAGACCACATGGCCGACCCCACCAAGAGAACGGCGAGCTGCATGTGCCCAGAGACCTGTCCTCCGGGTGCAGTGGGGCAGCCCACAGCTCATGGACCTGGTTGCAGCGTGGCTCCCCTGTCCTGTGTGTCTGGAAACAAGGAAGCCTGCACCTGAGCCCAAGAGGCCCACAGAGTGTGCTGGACTGGTGCCACCAGCAAGGGAGGAGGGGCAGCCTGCAGGGGACGGACTATCTGCTGACCGACAAGTCCAGAGTGAGCCTCAGGCCACTTCCCTTCTAGCTTCTAAGCAAACCAAACCCAGATAGCTCCTCAGCCTCTACTGGTGCTGAGAGGACGTGTGAAATGTGCCTTGCATGCTCCTGTCATAAACAAGAGGCCCGCCCACAGCAATTTGTCCCCCTCTGCACTGGCCCCTTCCTATCTAGTTCTGTCTGGCCTTCCAGCAGGAGGAACCACAGGAGCAGACTAGTGCAGCTGCCCTATAGGAGATGGGGGCGGGGGTGGGGTATCAGAGTTGCCATTTACTGCACTGACCACCGCCAGGCTCACTGGATCCCTTTAGTGGAGTAACCAGCAAACCCATGTGCAGGCTAAATGGAGATATGGTCACTACCACAGCAGACCACAGAGCAGCCAAGGGGAGTTGGCAGTTGGCTGTGCTGCAGAGAGGTGGTTCTGCCTGGTGCCATGCACAGGAGCCACCCTCGCGGCCACGTCTCACCCACTGCTGCACCTGAGACTAGAGCAGGGCCTGGGGTGCAGCCAGCATGTCATGTTGTCAGATGGACAAACAAACACAATTAAGAGCCACACCAAGTGACACCTGCCAGACTCTGTGGAGACACTGCACTGGCCCCCTGGCCTGGGTCCTGGGTAGGCAGCCCGCCCAGCAAGGGCTGGTGGCACAAGTGAGGATGCTGTGACCCTAGGTACCGAGTCAGTGGGGCCGCCTGTTTCTGTGCCTGAGTGACTGTCCTGACCGTGCAGGGTCAAGGGAGACTGACCAATGGGACAGGTGGTGTGAGGGCAATAACAGCTGCGCCAAGGACCCAGAGGGGAGGACAGGCAGGTGGGCGTGGCTGGGGGGAATCGCTCCCAACACCTGTACAAGCAGAGATAGCCTCAGAAGCACCAGGTGGGGGCGGCCAGGGCGTGGCTCACCAGTCTGGGCATCGTAGCCCTGGTGGCTGACTTGGCGCAGGCGGCCCAGGCCCTGGTTGATGCTGCGCATCCGCTCCTTCAGCTCCGCATGCCTGCTGTGCAGGACCTCACCCTTGATGGCACTCAGGTCAGAGGGGCTGACCACGTTCTCGTGGATGTCTGCAGAGAGGAAGCAACATGATGGTGAGCACCCCTCTACAGTGTCCAGTGCTGCCTGACCATCTCAGGCTGCAAAAGTCACATATTTGGGGAGGGTCTCAAGTCAAAAACAAGAGACCCATCAGAGAAAGCCGTGACAATCAAAAGGCAGCAGCCAGGCCGAGCGCAGCGGAGCACGCCTGTGATCCCATCACTTTGGAAGGCCAAGGCAAGTGGATCATTTGAAACTGGGAGTACAAGACCAGTCTGTGTCTCTGCAAAGTCCAGTCTCTGCAAAAAATAGGAAAATTAGCTGGGCACAGTGATGGGTGCCTGTAGTCCCAGGTATTCAGGAGGATGAGGTGGGAGGATCGTTTGGGCCCAGGAGTTTGAGGCTGCTATAAAGCTGGGATGAGGCCACTGCACTCCAGCCTCGGCAACAGAGGGAGGACCTGTTTCAAACAAACAAAAGGTGGCAGCTGCTCATTTGCAATGGGGAACACAGGGGCCAGTGACAACAGAGGTTGCCCAAATCAAGAAACAGTTCATCTGACCAAATACATTATGACAAACAGCCTTTCCTAAGCAGGGAGGTCCCACCCACAAACTGGGTGGAAATGCGAGGATAGGCTGGTGCTCCCCTGCAGTGACACCCCGCCCCTGCCACACGCAGCAGGGCACCTTCGGCTCTCCTTAGCGTCTCCAGCAGAAGGTTGTACTCCTGGACCTTCTCTTTGTGGTGCATAAACTCCCGCCAGAGCCTGTCCAGCTCTTCACTGGAGAACTTCCCAGAGGTCTTTGCCTAGGAAGGAAAGGAGGCCTTGAGTCAGTGCCCCTCATGGGCCCCATCCACCTGCCCACGCCCTCAGTGCCCCGAGGCCCCTCAGCTAAGTATTCTCTATGGTCAGGCAGGATCCTTGCAGTATAATGTGTTGGGCCTGGCTGGGCCAACACGACCCTGATGACCCTCTACTATGTTGAGTGTGGCAGGAAAACAAAGACCACCCCATGGAGGAGAGCTGCCAGTGGGCAAAGTCCCTCCTGGATGCGCCCAGGCTCAGTGGGAGACAGCCACCAGCTATGGGGAGCCCCAGGACTCCAGAGAGGAACGAAGCAGTCCCCCAGGACTGCTCAGCTCCTGGCTGTGGCTACCAAGGACAGCAAGGCCACCTTCCTTGGGAGACCTTGGGCCAGTCACCTAACCATCACCCCACCTGCCTCCCAGACCATGCAGTGACAGTGTGGACACTGCATGCCCCGTCCTGCCTCCTTGCCCCCCTTCACTGCTATATCCCTCCTGACCAAGGACAGGGAACTGGTATTGGGCTGGCATAAGAACTCCAGTTTCTGACCCACATCAAGGGAATTCAAACAAACTTCTAAACCACCAGCTGGTAGAAAAGGGGGCTGAATGGAGCAAACCCTTGCCACAGGCCAACCAGGCCATTGCCACACCCCCCCAATGCCCAACCCTGCCCTACTCGAGGCTTGTACCCCACAGAAAAGGGTGGGGCAAGCCTGGCACTACTGCATCCCAGATACCCACCGAAAGCCCCCCCGAGGCACACTGCCTGACAAGGACACCTCAACTAATTTCAGAACCAAGTCCAGGGCCAAACTCCTGCAGTTAAGGGGCAGACACCAAGTAACAGACTCCACCCAGGCTGCTCTACAACTTGTAATATGTGAAGGTCTAACCGCCATAAGCCAAATACAATTTCTTTGTTGAAAGAGCAAGAAATGCCGGGTGTGGTGGTGCATGCCTGCAATCCTATCATTCCAGGAAGCCCAGGCAAGTGGATTGCCTGAACTCAGGAGTTCAAGATCAGCCTGAGCAAGAGTGAGACTCTGTCTCTAAAAAATAGCCGGGTGTTGTGGCAGGCTCCTGTAGTCCCAGCTACAGGCTAAGGCAAGAGAACTGCTTGGGCCCAAGA